TTTTAAAACTAGATATTGACTGTTTGATTAGCCTTGTTACCCTTGTTATGTTGTTTCTGTGGGAAAGCCAAATAATACTGCTTCATTTTTACTTACAGCATCTTTTCCAGAAAAAATAATGCCCTGCCATAAGTTTCAGAGGTTTCTGATGTTTGAAATGGTTTCTCATTTGCTGGGTCTTTTTTTAAAAAAAGACTGTATTATACTCAATTATTATTTCATGTAATTGGCTTAAGGATTATTTTCTTTCACTTTTTTTTAAACAGGCAATTGCTGGTTACTTTGATATATATTTTGAGAAGAATTGCCATAACAGGGTAAGTATCATGAGTTATCTTACAAGAATTAATTTTGTGAAGTACATTGTATTTTGTATTTGTGCCCCAAGGGGTTTGATCATAAGCATTTTGCTGTTGTAAGCAATTGGAGCTTGTATTTGATGTAGTAGATTAATGTAGCATGATATTAAAAATTTTATATTTCATCAGATACTTCTGACTCTACCAATACAGGTCATGTTCTCTACGGGTCCCCAGAGTACCAAAACACACTGGAAACAAACAATATTTCTACTAGAAAAGCCATTTTCCGTCAAAGCAGGTGAGAAAGAAAAATAGAGAGGAACAGTGTGTTATTCATTCTGAAGTAGCCAATGCTCATTCCTTCTATGACCACTTTTTAAGTACCTAGTGTGTTTAAGGCAATGTAACAGATGCTAAGATGTTTAGTGCTTACTACCTACATAAATTTTAGATGGAATAAATTTCATTAAAGAAGTCATTTAAAGAAATTTTTATTTAAATCTTCTGCCAATTAAAATGTATGTGATATGTTACGCAGCTCTTATTTTAAGTACCACAAATAATTCATAAAACTATTCTTTAGGCAGTAACTTAGTATTTAATAAGTTACAGATATAACTAAAACAAAATTTCCATTTCTCAATGGTGTAAAGAGAAATGCCATCAAGAGAGGTAAAGTATAGGTTAAAAGCAAAGTTATTCAATAGTTTCTATGTTCAAAATATACTTGAGTTCAAAATTATGTGACATTGCCTGCCCTCAGGACTCTTTGAGAAGATATGTATGTAATAAACAGTTGTGTTTTTTAAATTCTGTAATCAAATTCTAACTTGAAGCTAAGTGTGTACATTCATAGTAGTTCATATAGGTGCACATATATTGATTGAAGTTTTAGACCTAGTGAAGTCTAAAACAAAAAAATGTAGAATTTGACCAGTTCTTGAATACTGTAAGATTTAAGTAAGAGAAGCGAGATAGTGGAAAGCACTGGTGACAGAGAGACCAATGAAGGTATGTACTGTTAGGAATGCATGCAGCATGTTTGTAAGACCAATCTGACAAGGAGAGGGAGGTTCACACTGGGTGTGATGAGATAAAGTTGAATAGACAGAATGGAAAGAGATCTGGTTATGAAACATTTTGTTAAGTAGAAGAAGAATTTGTGGTACATTTGGGAGGCATTTAGGATTTTTAAGTAAATAGAAAATATTTATCAAAGCTGTGTTTAAGAAAGATTTAGCATCTCTTAGTGTGATTTTGTAGTGAGTCTAGGAATAGATTGATTTTATAATAAGTTAGTGACAAAGGAAATGGAGAGGATGATATACAGTATCAGAGAGGGTTAGTGTGTGAGAAGAAGATGGGGCTAAGAGTCATCAAGGCCAGAATAAATACAGAGGGTGGGGAGGAGAGGAGTCTGACTCCATGATTGGAGCTCAGATGACTGGAAGCATGATAATGTCATTAAAAGAGGAGGAAAGTGCTTCTTCTTTTCTTTTTATTGTGATGAAATATATATAACAAAACATTTCAACCATCTTTATGTACGATTCAGTGGCATTAACTACATTCACTATGTTGTGCAACAGTCATAAGTATTTGCTTCTAATTTTTTCATCATCCTTAACAAAAACTCTTCACTGCTTAAGCCATCCTCCACTTCCCCTCCCACATCTCAGGTAACCACTAGTGAACTTTGGTGTCTATGTGTGGTAGTTAAGATTGTTTGTCAACTTGGCTGAGCCTGGTCTAGTGGCTGGGCAGCTCGTGGTAGTTATTCCCCATGATGAGACTGGCAGTCGACTCCATGGTGGGATCTACAACAAACAGCTGAGTAGCTACTTTAGGATGCAGTCTGCTTCTTGTATATAAGCAGCAGCTTTGGGAATTGTCTCTAGATTATGGCATGCTCAAACCCTGCATGTGGCCAAGTCATTGTGCAACAGTCTGCCATGCTCTGCCAATCTTGGGAATTTTCCTGGGCTTGAATTAGTGGCCTGCTGTATTGTTTGGTGATAGGGGGACTGTGCCTTTTCACTTGTCGACCTCGTATTTGTCAGCCTCAGCAGCCAGCTGCTGCCTGAGAGAAGAAAAGCCTTTAGCTTCGGTGGGCTGGGAGCAAGAGGCAGAGCTGAAGCCCAAGGTTGAGGAGCTTTTACCCAGCCCCTACAGCCTGGCACTTTGAACTCGGACGTAAAGCCTCCAAGCTTAAGAATAAACTCTTGTTTGTCATACCATCCTACTTGTGGTATATTCCTGTCAGAGCGGCACTAGGTACCAAAACACTATGTTTTTGCCTATTCTGAGTGTTTCATATATGTGGGATCATATAGTATTTTTCTTTTTGAGAGAAGTACATTTTTAGGAGTGTTGGTCGATAGTGTGAAATACAGCAACATCATCCCAGAAAATGAGGATGAAAGACAGTCTCTCCTGATTCCTTCACATATTTTTTGTTGTTGTTATGTGCCGTCGAGTCGGCCCTGACTCATAGCGACCCCTCCTTGCATTTCCAAGGCGGCAGTATCACTACATAAGTAGGATTGCCCAATGTATGTCATTGAGTCATACAGTGTGACAGTAGAACTACCCCATAGGGTTTCCTAGGCTGTACTGTTTAGGGGAGCAGATCGAGGTCTTTCTCCAGTGGAGCAATTGCATTGGGTTCAAACTGCCAACCTTTTGTAAAACAGCAAACGTTTAACTGCTATACTACCAGGCTCCTTATAGTGCAGTAGACTCTGCTATAACATTTGTATATCTATAATACTCTTAAGACTGTAACCATACATAGAATAAAGAAAATAATAAATCATTACAATTAATAAAAGAAAAGAAACTAAAATAATAGAGAATTAAAAAAAAAAAATCCAACAAACTCCTAGCAAGATTGGTCAAGACAAAATGAGAGCACAGATGAGCAATGTTGGAAATGAAAAAGAGAATGTAACTGAGGAACCATTAGATTTTTTAATTATAAGAGAATACAATGAATGGTATTATTAAATTGAAAATATTAATTGAACAAACTACTCTAGAAGAAATAAAAAGGCTAAAACTGTTCAACTTCTAAGAGATAACATAATAGACGATCTTTGAGACAGGCAAACATTTATGATAATGTTATATTGTTAAACTTATAAAATGGTACCTTTAAAATGTGCTTATTTTATTGTTGTAACTTTTATCTCCATAAAGTTAATTTTCAAAATAACCCTTACTGGATAGTCAGTATCTCCAAGATAAAATCCAAACTCATTACCATGGCCCTTTAAAATCTGACCATCATTTCTCATCATTCCCTACCCTCTATAAGTCCATCGTATGTTCCAATTATATAGACTGCTT